GGGGGGGGGGGGGGGGGGGGGGGGGGGGGGGGGGGGGGGGGGGGGGGGGGGGGGGGGGGCTGCCAGCCACGAACGAAGTTGACGCATCGACGAATGTTACATCGACCCCCACATAAGGCACCCACACCCACCCACACCTGTGATGGAGTACTCCATGGACGCGTAGCCTCGGGACCGCGACTTCAGCGCGTCAAACAGGTCCATCACCACCTCCGCCAGGGGCATGTCGTACACCACGGTGGTCCGCGCCTCGGTCATGAACTGCATCTCGATGTGCCTGGCGGTTGTTGGGAGGGGGTTTGGGGGGGGGGGGGGGCTCAGATGGAAGGGCGTTGGGTTCACCGTGCCGCGCTGCCCATGGGACAAGCAAGGGAGAGATGAGGGCAAACGCACAGGCACAAATGCGACGACGCTGCATCGGGGGGCCGGTGTGGCCATCCAGGGCCTCCCACACGGGAATGAGAGCGCAACAGCCCCACCCCACCATCCGCACGACAGGCCCCCAAAAGGGCGCGCTCACTCTCCGCGCCGGGTCTGGAGCAGGTCCAGGATGGGCCCCACATACTCCTTGGGCGTGATGACCTCCAGTCTGCTTGGTGTGAAGGATTGAAAATGGCGGGTCAACGGGGATAGGGATGTGAGCTCGGCGAGGTCGAGTGGCGATCTCCCGACGAGGGTGTGCAGAGGCTGGATGTGCCTGCATTGGTCCCCACCCCTGCATCTGGACTGCATCAGTGGCCATTTCCCCCTTCTCCAATCCCAATGCCTGGACCCCTGCAAAGCGTGCCGCGCTTCTGTCCTGCCATGGCATGTCCATCCCACCATGCCAGCTCCTTATGCCACCCCACCCCATCCCCACTTGGGGTGATCTCCGCCCCGGCCCCCCACACCTCCCATACACTTCCATGCCTGCCCTCACCTGACGTAGGGCTCCAGCACAGCCGACAGCGTGGCGGCGGGCGGCAGCTTGCTAGGGCAGTCCACGACGTGCTCCGCGCCATCGCTGGTGCGCGCGCGGAAGACCACGGTGGGCGCGGTGGTGATGAGGTCCAGGCCGTACTCCCGCTCCAGCCGCTCCTGCACAATCTCCAGGTGCAGCAGGCCCAGGAAGCCGCAGCGGAAGCCGAAGCCCATGGCGGAGGACACCTCGGGCTCGAAGGACAGCGCGGCGTCGCTCAGCTGCAGCTTGGTCAGCGCCTCGCGCAAGCCCCCGTACTGGTCGGCGTCTGTTGACGCATGGGGATTTCAAGGATGGGGGGAGACGACGTCAGCGGGACGCAAGGACAGGTCGGTGGGAAGCTCGGCAGCGGGGCACAGGGGAGAACCAATGAAATTCAGAGGCATCAGCACGCTCCCTGCAGCATTGTGCCAAGAATGTGACGCCACAGACCCGATGCAGCGCCGGCAGTCGAGGCGAGCCCCTGGCCCAGAGGGCAGGCGCCGCCACCCTCAGCCTCGCCGAGCACTCCCAGGAACCGCCTTTGCTACCCCGCACCGATGGTGAACATGCCGCAGAAGACCATGGGCTTGACCTCCGTGTATCCCGGCAGCGCCTCGGTCGCGGGCTCGCGCTTCAGCGTCACCGTGTCGCCCACGCGAGCGTCGGCCACCGACTTGATGGCAGCCGCCAGGTAGCCCACCTCCCCAGCATGCAGGCTCTCCACCTGCAAATGTTTGAGTGGGTGTGGTGTGGTGTGGTGATGATTGTGGAGAGGCGGGGGCCCCATCCACAGGGGTACATGTGCCGCCCAGGAGGCTTGCAGAAGAAAGGGCGGCGCTGCCCGCCCCCCCCCGATCCCCGCTGCCCATCCTCACACCCACCGCAGACCCCTCCCAAGCACCGAGATGATCCCAACTGCCCCCTGCTCGCAACACGCCCCTTCAAATACCCCCCCCCACCCCACATGCCACACACCCAGGGGACCCACCTCGACGGCCTTGGGCGCCAGCACCCCCAGCTCGGCCACGGGATGCTCGCACCGCGTGTTCATGAAGCGCACGACGTCGCCCCTCCGCAACTCGCCGTCCATCACCCGGAACTGGGCCACCACGCCCTGTAGTGAGGGAAGGGGGAGAACGTCCAGCCTCCAGTTAGAGGAGGGGGCCAAGGCTTGTCGAGGTGGGATGACCGGACGGTCGCCCCGCTCGGCGACCCACGCCCACGCCCCTTGCTCATCCCTAGCGACAGGCACGGGGACGTGGGGTACTCAACCCTCGAACACCTTGTACGGGTCGTAGTAGGAGTCGAAGATGAGCGCCCGTAGCGGGTCCCCCCGCGTGTCCCTGGGTGGCGGGATGCGCTGCACCACTGCACGAGGGGGGCGCGGTGGGGGATGGGACGTCGCCATGTCTCCAGCATGCGCACGAGCGCACAACCATACACGTGGCGTTCCATGCCGCCACACCATTTCCTGAACAACCTGCTCCTCCTTTCCAATATATGCCCAGCCCTTTCACACCCCTCACCGGCCTCCAGGACCTCCGCGATGCCGATGCCCTGCTTGGCAGACACGAGGAGGGCGTCGGATGCGTCCAGCCCGACCACGTCGGTGATCTCCTGGCGCACCCGCTCCACGTCAGCACCTGCATCACCGCGAGAAGGTAGGATGCCGGGTGGGGGGATGGGTCGTGGCGCCAAGGCCCAGCGCCAAGGGTCTCCAGAGTGGGGCGAGCACGTCGGTCAAGCTATTCAATCGGCCCGCTTCCTTACATCCTCAGCCTCCCACCTCCTGCGCTCCAACCCCCAA